GGCTGGGATCCAGCCCCCTGTATGTCATGAGTTGGGTAGGTTCTCAGCCAGGGGTTAACTCAACCCCCACCCCTGGAGCAGGATGGTGATGTACCAGAGCAAGGCGGAGAAGAAGCCATTTGATGTGATAGACCTGGATCCCTACGGCAGCCCAGCCATCTTCCTGGATGCTGCTGTGCAGGCCCTGAGCGAGGGGGGTGAGTGCTGGGGGAGTGGAGGCTGTGAACTTCTAATAGAGGTCACTGCTGAGAGGCACTTGGATTAAATGGAGGGGGGGGTTAGAGGTGCTGGGTGCCTGAATACCTGGGTTCTCTCCAGCTCAGAAAGAGGAGTAAAGTCTGGGGGGTTAGAGCAAGGAGGGGCAGGAGCCTGGACCACCTGGGTTCTCTGCCTGCTCTGGGGTGGGAATTGGGGCTGGGGGGGTTAGAGCAGGAGGCTAGGATGCCTGGATTCTACCGCCAGCTATCCTGGGGACTGGTACTTCCCCCTCCTTGCCAGGAGGAGGCTGCAGACCCCAGGGCCATCTTAGCCCCATGGGAGGAAGGGGGAGGAGTTTCTTGCCCTATATAACCCCCCCCCCCCCCAGGCCTGTTGTGCGTGACGTGTACGGACATGGCTGTGATGGCGGGGAACAGCGGGGAGACATGTTACAGCAAGTATGGAGCCATGTCACTCAAGGGCAAGTTCTGCCATGAGATGGTGAGTGCTGACCCCTGACCTGCGCACTGCTTGCCCTGGCCATGAGACTCCCTGTCTCACTGCAGGCTGGGCTGAGATCTGGCCTGTTTGCTGCACCTCTGAAGCTCAGCGGGTGAGGGCAATTAAGCCTGAATGGGAAGGGATGGGTTGGAGTGGTGAGGGAAGGAAAGTGGGGACCAGGACCTAGACGCATGGGTCATCTCTCTGTTCTGGGACAGGAGTTGGGGGCTGTTGGGATAGTGGAGGCCTGGATGCCTGGGTTCTCTCTAGCTCGGGGTGGGGGTAGGTACCTGTCCCTAGGAGAGCAGGGGCTGAAACCCAGGTGACTCCTCACTCCAGGGCCCAGGTGCTCTGAGGGAGGAGTTCTGTCCCCTCTTCACCTATCCACCTGTGTGACCGACACCCCCCCCCCCCCCCCCAGGCCCTGCACATCCTCCTGCACAGCCTGGACCTCCGGGCTAACTGCTACCAGCGCTATGTGGTGCCACTGCTTGCTATCAGCGTCGACTTCTACATCCGTGTCTTCGTCCGCATCTTCACTGGCCAGGCCAAGGTTAAGGCCTCCGCCAGGTCAGTGGGGACCTGGAGCTAGGGTGGGGGCTAAGCTCATAGACCACCACCACCACCACTGCGCCCCCCACAAGGGCTGAGGGAGGCAGGAGGTCGATGGTGCCCCCTGTTGGCTGCCCTCCTCCACATGCTAACCCCTCCCTCCCACCATGCTTTCTCTGGACAGCAAGCAGGCTTTGGTCTACCACTGTGTGGGCTGTGGCACTCACCACCTCCAGCGCCTGGGCAAGGTCACCAGCCACGGCAGCAAGTATGGGGCATCCCAAGACCCACACTTCTATTCCCACCCCCCTGCCTATGGCTGCCTGAGTCTCCCCCAGGCATAGGCTGGAGGGAGCCAGGGTGGGACAGGGTAGCTGGCAGGGCTGAAGGAGAGGTTGGGGGGGAGGGGCAGTACCTGACCCTGGTTGTAGGAGGGGGTGAGGGGGGTACTAGGCCCTAGATGATGTGCTGAGGAGGGGGGTGGGGAATGTTGGGCCATGGAGGAGGGAGGTATTGGGGAAGGGGTGGAGTTTGTGTAGATCAAGGGATAGACTTGGGGGGGGGAGGTTCCAGGTACCCAGCCATAGGGAAGGATGGGTAGAGCCCTTTCCTGGTGGGAGCCTCCATGTATCCAAGCCCCTGTTCCGTTTTGCTTGACAGCTTCAAGTACTCCCCAGCCTCAGGGCCCCCTATGGGGACCTTGTGTGAGCACTGCCAGCAGCGGCACCAGGTGAGAGATCCCCTTCCCTCCCCCCTGCCTGCCAGCCACCCTTCCCCTAAGCGACTGTCCCCCCTGACCTGCTTCCCCTCCCCTGCAGCTGGGGGGACCCATATGGGCAGAGCCTCTTCATGATATGGCTTTTGTGGAGCGAGTTCTGGGTGCCCTGGAGGCCAACCCCAGGCGATTTCGCACCCAGGACCGGATCCAGGGCATTCTCAGCATGGTCACTGAGGTGAGGGCAGGGCTATAGGGTGGAGCTTGGGTAAGAAGGTATGGCCACAAGCATGGCAATGGAAGGGTTGAAGACTGGTGTGTGTGGCCTGCATTGGAGGTGGGGCTTATGCCTAATGGGGTGTGGCTATAGCAATGAAGGCCTTGCTTCTAGGGAGGTGGGTGGGGCTTGTAGTTAAAAGGGTGTGGCCTCTTATTGTATGGGTTCATTAGGCAAGGGCTCCCCATTGTGTTTCTGGACTCAGGTAGTGGGGTCAATGCAGTGAGGGCATGGCCTCCAGGTAGGAGCTGTGTGCGTGGGGCTTGCACTCAGGGGGCATGGCCTCAATGTGAGGTCACCTGGGCTTGGGGGCAGGGCCTAATTTGGGGTACCTGGCTGAGATAACCCCTTGCTGCAGGAGCTGAGTGAGGTCCCGCTCTACTACACCCTGGACCACCTCAGCAGCACCATCCGCTGCAACACGCCCTCACTGCTGCAGTTCAGGTACTGGTGCCATGTGGCATCATAAGAGGGGAGGGCACCCCCTGGTGGATCCCCCCCCTCAGTGCTACAGGGCCCTGAAGTCACCCAGCTCTTAGCACCTGGTTTTAGGGGCGTGGCTGGGGGACAGCTGGGACCTAGGTCTGATCCCACCATCACCACTGCCCCCAGATCCGCCCTCCTCCATGCAGGCTACCAGGTGTCATTATCCCATGCCTGCAAGAACACCATCAAGACAGACGCACCAGCCACTGTCATCTGGGACATCATGAGATGCTGGGTGAGAGTGAGGGGGAAAATTGGGGTTCTGAAAGGGCCTAGGGGGGTGGGAGACAAGAGGGGGAGTGTAATAGCTGTTCTCTAACCCCCTGCCTCTTGGGATTTTCTCTATAGGGATAAGGTGCTACGAAAGGATCCTAGTGCCTGAGAGGGGGAGTGAAGGGCACGGGCAGGGTTTGGGGGGGGTTGTTAAAAGGGATATTGCTGACCTCCCTCTTCTCTCTCTAATGCCCCTCCCTCCAGGAAAAGCTCCACCCTGTGAAGCGGGAGCGGCTCTCTGAGACCAGCCCGGCTGCCCGCATCCTCGCAGTGGAGCCAACGTGGGTCCTGGGTGGGGGCTGGGGTCAGGGCACAAGGGGAAGGGCAGGCACATAGTGTAGGATGTGGGTGCTCATGGGGTCAGGTGAATCAAGTAATTGTCCAGGCCCCCCACTTTTCCTCAGTTTCCCTATCCATACAACTAACCTGCTGGGAGCCACAAGGGTGGGGTCCCACCCTTGTGGCTGTGCCACAGCAGCAGGGTAGAGGCCTGTAGGCCTGTGGATGGGGGGAGCCAGGTCCCCAG